ACATACATACATACATACATACATACATACATACATACATACATACATACATACATACATACATACATACATACATACATACATTTAAAAGGTTCTAAATAGTATAGCGTTGTGCAATAAAGTTCTTAATCAGATTACAGTGCAATCAGAGCATCCCATCAAAACACGTTTTAGCATAACATTTGGAGACCTATGTACTTTTTATTATAACAGTTTGTATATCACGATCTAGGTTTTTTAAAATTTTTTTACAAATTTAGTTACATGAGATTCCGTGGTTTGGTTTCATTAGATCTTAAGACTAGACGTTAATGATGTTTCATGAAATTTGAATATCACTGGCCCTAAGGACCTTTTCATATTGTAAAGCCCAGTTGACTAGGTGGACCAGGTGTTTCTTTTTTTATAAAATGTTTCTGGCGAAAGGTTTGTAGGATAGGTGTGGATTTACTTACGATTTACCATAAACTGTTATAGTCGTTGTCCTTAGTGACCCATTTTCATCATATTATTATGAAGGCTATTGACCAAAAGCTTTCTTTAAATATATGGAGGATAGGGACTTTATAGATTATGGGCTATTACAAAGTAGATAATGATGGTCACATAATGGTTCAATAAAAATGAAAGAGTGGTTAGACTTGATAAAAACATGTTAACCTGTCTAAACTTAAACGAACCTTATAAGTGATTCTGAACCCGTGTCTGTTTAGCTTATTGAATGTTTTCCATAAGAAATACATTATAGAAAGCAAGAAAAGTAAGGGTAATCTTAATGTATTTACGTTTACGCTTGAAAGGTGTGTATGAATGTCTGCATGTACCTTTACTGCTAAGTGGGTGTGAATAAATGCTTACAGTAATTGTAACACGAGGCTAAAAGTAAGAGATTAGACATTTATGTCACAGAAACGGTCTTGGAATATTAATAGTAAGGGCAGGGAAATAGGGTCGAATGATTGGATGGGAAAGTGTGGTAAAGAAATGTAAGGAAGATGTAGTGGACAAAACAAATTTGGTATCATCATGATCATTATAACCATCATTATTCAGACTTCTCAAAGAAATAGAAAAAATGATGAAAATAAACTTTTATCGTTCTACTTGATTAAAATGAAAATATGGTCTTCTAAAGGGTAGTTTACTGGAAGAGAGACAAGTATGTCATTATACGATACTAACGCTATGACGTAAGGCAGATACTATACTGATGATGACGTTGATGTGGAAGTATTTGTCTTACACAACTTCACCTATAGTATTCATATTTCAATGTATTGTTTTAAAAAAAATTATAAATGATGAAAACTTTTTTGCATGTTCAATGGATAAATTAATGCCAACATATACAATCTTACCTTACAAATGGCTGTTCAAAAGAAAAATAGCGTACTTTGCTGAATGCGTTGTGTGAAAGCGTTCTTAGCTGCACAAGCAGGCGAGGCGATTGATAAGAGCGTCACGTGTATTGATTTATATCTAGTTAGGTTATATATATATTTTCAGATACCGGCGTAGGTCACATATCCGGGTGCACGTGTGCAGAACTTTACCTGTATATTTATTGCTGTCTGTTTTCGTACGATACCTGTACAGCAAAGTAATTCGAACTTGTAATTGCCTTCGTACCCAAAAATATTGTCTATAGTAAAAGTGCAATAACTAAAATATGTTCATGCGGCATGTGTTTGTTAATCTAATGTCAAGATGTGGTTACGCACGTTGATGTTTGCTAAAAGAATGGATTTTGCTTCAAATCATAATCAAATCATAATCATGGAACACATGTCTCCAGCGGCGGCTGTTGGAAGTGATGGGGGAGGGGGAATAAGGGCTGGTAGGGGCAATTACTCTAGCCACCAGGCGAAGGATATGCCGTTGAGAGCTATTCATATTTGTGCAGTTGAAAGTTTCATCATATTTCAGTTTTACCTAAGTATAACAGAAGCAATAGTTTCGAAAACTTCAATTTTACAGCTGGTTGGGGAGGAAAGAGGTTCGCAATTGACATGAAAAATTGTTTTCTGCCTCTAAGTAGAGGAGTCTATAAAAGTATAATGACTCCAGCCGCCTTGATCCATAGCCCAGCCGTTGCTTATCTCACCGTTGACTCGCTGATCCGCTTGTTCATGCGTAGTCAGACACACTACCTTACGTACATATAAATTAATAAAATTACATTAAGCTCTGCATTTCAAGAATGTAATTGAATAATAAACATAAAGACACAAATTACCGCAAGGAAAATAAATGCATAAAACTCTTGCGCCATAAGAAATTTTTTGAGAATCCAATTTCATAACTTTAATATAATATGTTTCATTTTCGACAGTTGGAAGATAAAGTTTTCGATAAGGGTTCAACACGTAATCCACAAGACTATACCCATTTCAGAGTAAACAGTGAAGTTAATGATGATTCCTGAAAATGTCCAAATATGGAACCACTCTGACGTCTATTATGCTTAGAAATGGGTTCCAACGTTTTACATAGATGTTTGCTTATATAAGCAGATCTCACTTAGAGGATGTTCCAAAAAGTGCAATGTCCACACAGACATATATAGCAGATTTAAAATGAATTTTCACACATTACGACTCTATAGTCTTAATATAAGTAATTGAAAAGAGGTTTGTCCAATTCAACAAATAGAATAAAAACGTGAACATATTAAAAAAGAACTTACGGTATTGCGAATTAAATCCAAAATAATCCCAGAATTACAGACACAAGACTTCATGATTAAAAGTTCTGAATAAACTTTAGGTGAAATCCAAATTAAATCCAACTCTGAAAGTGTTGATGTGCCCATGGTGGCTCTTGTAATGGTGATGTGCCAACATTCTTTTTCTTTATAAAAAATACAAATGAAAAATACATCTTTACCTGAAATTACCATATTAATACAAATCTGTTTCCAAAACTGTTGTTTGTGATCACTTTGTATTGTGAAAGAACAATCATTTAAAATAAATAATTGGAGAAAAAAATCCAGCCCAAATGAATTTCCGGACACAACTATAATAAAACCGATTCTTCTAAGATCTTACAGGAGGAATAATTAATTTCCAAAAAACTTTATATAGCTCTCTACCTGACCAAAGGTAAGAATTAGCATCTTCAAAAAACTAACCTAATCGATCATATCCTTCTAAAAAAAGTCGTAATGATTATTTAACAAAATCTCAGTTATAATTGGAATATAAAATGTCATAACCCCACAATGTCTTTGACCCAAGCAAAGAATATAATCCTGATGGTTAACGCTTACACAAAAAAAACTAAATAGCTATGTAATAGTTGTTTACAGAATTAAAAACTAAATAATTCAGTCAAAAAGAAAATAAAACTTGGTCTTGGACAATGTCAAATCCAGTAATCAATATTACATTATCATTACTATATAATGAAATAAAAACATTTAATAACAAACCAACAAACAATGCAAATTAAGTACACACAAGATACAGCAATAATACACAAGGCATGTCCATGCACAAGGTGTAATACGTAATGATATATCACTTTAATGAACTAAACGTACAAGACACACTGCTGCTTTATCTCAGTTTATTTTTTAAAAATGTGATTTTTGTATTACAGACGTATAATTAACAACAAAATATCCCGAACCCAAAGAAACTTTGCTTCATTTCTGTGCACATTCGTAAAGTGTTATAGAATATTAAAGTTCAAGAGTCATTTCTATGGAACTAGATAACGTATAAATAATTGTTACTTGCTTGACTCTTGGTTTAATCACACATTGCACTAGTATCTCGCTTGCTAAGCTTAAGCATCTTTGTCACTGGTATCTTGCTCCACAAGCTTGAACACACATGGCACAGGTAACTCGCTTGACAAACACACGTGTCACCGGTATCCCGCTTGACTAGATTAAACACGCATGCTATAGGTATTCTTTGTGACAAATCCTTTAAAAAGTGATCGAAGCTCTTTTCAAAGTTATGCCCAGCTTCTCTTACATAACTGGTTACAAAAGTGAAGGTTCTTTACATATCATAAAACTAATTGCAACCAAACATTTTCAGGCAAAAAAAAAACGATATTCAAATGTAAAAGCCAGTAACACAGTAACACAGAATATTCTCAGTATATGTTTAGATATACACAAGTAAATGCATTCGTAACATCGGGAAATGCAGTCAATGTGTCCCAAGCTGACTGCATTATTTTCCTTTGAAGGAAGAGATCACACCACATCCAGTAGATGCACATAAAATGTCAATAACTTTATTTTCCCATGACAAATGTGTATGTAATATAATGTGCTACAGTATCCCTGTCGTTTCTGACTACAACCTCAGGCACTGCACTGTTGTGCAAGATGGATACACTGATTACAGAAAACTTTGAAAGTGCTGTCCTCACCATGATATTTTGGTACCCATAATGAGCTGCATCTAATAGATGCAGCGTCATCCGTGTATCAGTTCCTTATGTCAACATGATTCAAAGCTACATTTGGGCTGTCAGGTGAACATTGTACTTAGTACCCATGATTGTCAAATACCACTTTTCCATCAATTTCAGTTCAGATAACTTGTTAGCCTGTCCACTAACCACTAGCTTGGTTGTGTTCTCATTGTATTAAATGTATACAAAAAGTTTTGGTGTCTTGCCCTGTTTCATATCGACAATATTGTACATCGAAAGGGGCCATGACTGATTAACATGCTAGAAGAGCTCCTCGCAAATGCCTTCTCGGAACTGACATACTATGTACAAAACCATGTGATGTGATGTAATTATGATTTGTAACGTAGAATTAATATTTTAGCAGTCAAATCGCAACGATGTCTGCAATGAAGCAGTTTATAGTGATGTCTAGCACAGGGGCATCATTCCGCAGACATGTAGCATGATGTCCACCCAGTCACATTATCCGTACACCAGGACGACCAGTACTAACACTAGCCTCTTACTGCTGAGCGTCAGGTTTAGGCAGCTGTTAATACCATTTTTGTAAGTCTTTGGTATGATTCCACTGAGGATCGAACCCACGACCCTCCGCATCCGAGGCGGATGCTCTAAATACTAGGCCAACGGAGCGGTTAGTAATAACCATGAGAACTAATCATAATCATTCTTCAGTGGTACAACCTGAACCTTTCTTCATGGAAAATAATATCAAATTGCTCTTTTTCGTTGGTTGTTTGATACGGTTTGGTAGGCATGCCAGATCATTGTAAGGTACACATCCTTAATCAATGAATCAGCTATATAACTTATAGTAATACCAGTAGTATAAACATCAGTTATTTAACCAATGCCTTCAAGCATGTCTCCTAAGATTTCGAACGCAGAAATCTCAGTTTGAAGTTCATGTATCTTAACATTCATACCGAAATTTCTCGCATCCCCGACAAGGGTCAGATGACAATAAAAAGTTTTAGGACAGGGTAAGGATCCAAGTATTTCTATCTAAGATCAGAGTTTTTGTTTGGCTGTGTGGTTTACTCTGACATATTGTTATTTTATAACTTACCACTAAATTAAAAAGGGTCTTTAATATTTCATGGACACACTGTCAACACCACACAAGTCTTGGTTCATGGAAAACTGAACTTATGGTGAATAAGCCATTTTCATGTGTACAATTGGTGACCTTGACCTTGGAGTGTTAGAATATTATAGTTTAGATATTGTTTATGGTGCACTGCTCAAGCTATTGTGAGGAAACCATTTGATAATAGATGACATCATAAAAATGATATGCCTTATAACGTGTGTTTACAAAAAACTACATAGATGTTAATTCAACAATACACTGCAACTCACGAGACGAGATAGACAAAAAGCAGGACAGTCAATAATTTAAACTTTCTTTCCGGTATAATGAATGTCCATAATTACATGCAATAACAATTATAATATCATAGGTATAGAGCACGTCTATAATGACATGGATTAACCATCTATCCACATATGTACACAACATGGAATAACCATCATTCCACATATGTATAATGCATGTCTACAAATACATAAAGTAACCATCATTTCACATAGGTATAATGCATGTCTAGAATGAAAAGACAACTGTATAAAAATAAACCATAATGTCCGCCAATGAAACCAATATAGCCAGAAAACGAGTTCACAATGACGCAACATCACCAATCATTTCTACAAAGTAACCGTGTAGCAGTATTAAAACTCCGAAATATGATCTTGGCTACAGGCATACAGCTCAGACAACTCTGAACCTTGTTTACAGGCAGACAGCTCAGACAACTCTGAACCTTGTTTACAGGCAGATGGGTCAGACAACTCTGAACCTTGTTTACAGGCAAAAGGGTCAGACAACTCTGAACCTTGTTTACAGGCAAAAGGGTCAGACAACTCTGAATAAGACTTGTTTACAGCCAGACAGCTCAGGCAACTCTGCAATAAGATTTGTTGACAGGCAGGCAGCTCAGAAAAGTCTGAAAAAGACCTTATTTACAGGCAGACAGCTGAGAAAATCAACGTGATTACAGCAGGCATAAATATACTCTATCACTAGTCTTTAAATATTCATTATCCAATTTCCAAACCTTTCAAACCAAACAGTACAGACAAAGGCCAACAAGCATTTTTGCCTTTCATTAATCATGGACATTTTCCTCCTGGTAAAACATGCCTTTGGCTCATGAAGCAAGGGAATCTACCTGTACAAAAGTACAAAGAGAAAACTCTACAACTACGCACATGTCATTGCCAAAACGAAGACCAGCAGAGTTTTCATATGTGACCTAATCTTAGTTTAACGATATGAGAGTGTAAAGCCACACTGTTGCTGAACAACAAATCTTCAATGACTTGTTTTCACAAGCTTCTATGGTCTTCGGGACTAATTTCCGCCTCAAAAATGGCACTGGAGGGACAATACGTCCAGAGCCATCCTCCATCAACATCAACACCTATGAAATTGAGGAAGAAGGCAGGTGCACATACCTTGCGTCTACCATCTCCGACAACTGCTGTCTTGAAGAAAAACTCAACTACTGCATTGGAAAGAAGATGTTTGCAATGTTTGGTAATAAGTCATAACAACTATACTCACATCAGGAAAAGAGGCTAAACAGCTTTCACCTATGCTGCCAACAAAGACATCCTCTGCATCTCCCGAAAGGACAGTTCCCAACACATAGGTTCAAGTGCATGTACACGTCCCTAGCATATGCACACTGCTGAGACAGCATCCTCTCTTATGGCTTGATGAATGCATATCTGCGAACATAATTCATAGTGAGCTGGCTTCTGACAATAGGCTCCCAGATTGATTACACCTACATTCACAATGGTGAGCTTGAAAGAGCTCAAAGTTTTGAATATTGATATGGTAAACAGGGAAGCACTTCCTCAGGACTGAGGTAGCGATTGTCAACTAATTGACAACAATAGACCACAACTCTTCACTCTTTTGAAACTAAGGAAATGATGATTATACAAATATACCCAAGTCTATTATACAAATCTGATAACACAAGGTCCACACATATATAATTATTTTAGTGTTGATAAAAATAGATTTTATAGTAAGCTCTTACTTAATCACATTAACATTAGGGAATTATTTTACTACCTCCAGATTCCAGCCTTCACAGACTTAAAAAGTACACGTTTAAAGACAAATGGAAGGATATCTTTTAGATTAAGTCCCCTTACCCACTACATTGTACTATATGTGCTAAATATCCTCAGTACAACTACAAGACGTTAAAAATATATTATTGTAACCATACAATATATAGTATAACTACAATTAAAAGTGTAAATAAATGTAGAGTTGTAGGGATACAATATAAAGTACAAATACAAAAACAAGTCATAATAAATGTATAAATGTAGTGATACAATATACCGTTTAACTACAATTACAATTCTAAATAAATGTATCACTAGTGATAGAATAACATTGAAATACAATTACAATTCTAAATAAACGTATTACTTTAGTGATACAATATAATGTTTAACTACAGTCACAGTCTAAATAAATTTATCACTATCACGATACAATATACACTAGTACACTCAAGTAACAATAAGCTGGAGATGCATTATTGCATGTTTGAGGATATAATTATCTTTATCATATGTGAAGATAGCTGGTATTGCGCTGCAACGTTCTGAAATTTTTCGAGTTGGTGTTAGAAGTTCTGCCCACACACACATAGTAGTAACTAATCATATGGAATTGAGCATGATGCTAAGTCCCAAATATGCCCACACAGCAGTCACAATTCACATGTACTTGTTTATAATGCTGGCTACTAATAACAGTGACTTGCAGTTATGACTCTTTACATGGGATTATGTTTGGTGTTGGCTTTTAATTATAACCATACACAGTAGTGACTGTTGCAATCATGTATTATGATGATGTATTTGCTGGTGCCATTGGATACGATCAGACACTTCTCTTCCACAGGAGTACCAACCTCTGACAGGTTAAGCCTGAAAAAGCATATGGATTTTACAATAATTTCCACTTTTAACAAAATCACACTAATATTTATCTATAGTGTAATTAACATGTTTGTAAATTAAACAAAGGCGGTAACTTTATGAAAAGAAAGTTTGCTTATATCTAGGTCATAATGCCAAATGTTACTAATATAATGTATAATGTAATGAGTATAATGTGACAAAATTGTCACTCAAAAATAGGCATGTATGTGTGCATGAATATGTAGCATTTAATGCACTCACAAAAACATTGCTTGTCTTGTGCCAGCTAATGCTAAGGTTCACAAAATGTAAAACCAAATAACAGCACAAACAATTCAGCAATATAAACACCTCCAATTATTTAACATAAATGACAACAATGAAAAACATAAAAGGTAAAGACCCTACAATTCTATAAAAAGTATATCAAATAAAGTTTAAAGCTAAAACTTGTTTTAAAAAATACTATATAAATCATGATCCCTCACAGAAGTTTAAGAGTTTGGCTTCTACCATACCTTGTTTGGAATCTTTGTCTCAAAGCATTATGATCTAAATGATAAGCTGGTGGTATATTGGAGGAGTCTTTTCCATAACAATGAGGTTTTCTAAATGAGAGTCCAAAATGGACTTTAAGTCAAAGTCCCTGAATATGTAACAGCTCAGGCATCTGGGGACTTGCGAATTACAGTGTAACCCATACACAACTGAATCATATCAAGATTATATCATTCAAATGACCTGTATAACGATGGGAAAACCTTCATATATCCTGCCGAAACAGAATCTGGCATGGATCTTATTAAATCCTGGTCGTATCTTTACAATTGTACCTGAAATATCTGATCTGCAATCTTTTAAATATGATTATGACAAAAAATGACAAAGCATCCAACTGTCAAGTCAGAGATATGGGTAATTATGAATTCAATGCAATGAGTAGAAGTACATACAGTGTTTTCTATCTTCTTTTGCCCGTTTTGTTTACGCAATTTATCTATGATTGACGCTAAACAAAATGGATTATGTTTGTCCTATAGCAGACAAAACACTGAAATGATTGTCTTTGTTCTAGAACTTATACAAAATCATGGACATATGGACAGTTCCTGAATTATGCCATTTCGGTTTTTTATGATGTTGAATCCTCTATTCGGACACGTTAACTGTCTAAATATTCCCTTGAGGTACATCCATCGTCTGAGGAAAGATTTCAGAATGGGTGCTGCATACTAGAACTTGAATGTACTGTACATAATTATATCTCTTAATTATTCTTCATGATATTTTATATCTAACAGGCTTAATAGATAAATATCACCTGTCGCTTTTGCTTCTCTAACTGTGCCCTGTATAAAAAAATATAACAAAATATACGCTGATCCCCTAGTGCAAAAATAATTAAATTTTAAATATAAAAAAGTGGACCGAAAATTATTTCCCATAGAAATACATACTTCACGTGGAGAACCTTTTGTTTCAAAGAAAACTTTTACAACGAGATCTGGTGAAGTTGATAATGTAAAATGTGTAAAAGTTTATGTTTTTAATCTGATAAATAAGACTATGGCTGTATTTGATTCTATAGCATTCGCAGCATCTGGATTACATGT